GAAAAACAAATATAACATAGATCAATCCCACCAATCCTACTCAATTTGCAAGTAAAAGCAAACATAGGAAAGATTTTATTTAATCTAATCAAGACACATTTCCCGAAACCTTCAGAACTGTTAAAGATTTTCAAGAGCAACACTGTAAAACTAAGTTACAGCTGCATTGGAAATTTGGATACCATTATCAAGGAACAAAATACGAATAATCTAAGGGTAGACAGTGATATCAACAAACATTTTAATTGCAGAGACAAAACCTAATGTCTAAAAAAGATGATAAAAATCACGCTTCTTTAATCAAACTACAAAACGTTAGGTATGACACGAAACTTGCTGACTACGTCTTAAAATTGAAAGAAAAAATAATAGAAATCCAAACGTAAGATGATGTATAGTGAAAAAGGTGAGACCAGGGCGAACGAGACAACATTTGTAGATTGTGCCAAGACAAATAGATGGTATGGGAACACTTCCGGCCAGAAAACAACTACTAAACGAGCAGTCAGAAACTGTAGATGATCAGTGTAGATATATAAATAAATGCATTCTTCGCATTTACGAATCCCGATGAAAATATTTTTCCACACCCTTCAGTAATTCTTCCGGTTAAAAAGGAATTACAAACGCTAGAAAACTAAATGTACTCCACTACCCGATGATGCATAAAAGTAGTGATTATGTGTATATTTTTTCATATTATATATATATTTTTATATATATATATATATATATATATATATATATATATATGTATGTATAAATAAGACACAGTGAAAAGAAAGACTACAAAAACCAACATTGTTTACGAGTTCAAATGCCCGTTACGGAACTATGTTCCTGATCCAACCAAACTCATAAATTATTACATTGGCCACACTAGTGCATGACTATATAGACTACTTATGTTACACCTACCCGACCATAACTACATTAGGACTAATTTAAATACACACAAAAGCCTACCTGACTCCATCCGAAACATTTTAATAGAAAATACAAGAATAATAGCATAATCCACATGAAAAACGATTAAAAATAATGTAAGCTGTAACATTGAAAAAAGAAAAGCCAATACTCAGTAAGATCAACTATGAACACGATCACAGTGCGCTGACCGTGTTCGAAAAATAATACATTCCTTCAGACACATAAATAAAACCAACATATTTACTTAAAAATAAAAAAAATAAAAATTATTCTTGATAATGGCTAAAAGAATAACTTAAAGCGATCGGGTATGCAGAACTTTTGGACGGTTTTTACACACTTTGTGCCCAGAAAAGAAAACACTTGTCCGAACACAAGAAAAATTAAATAAAAAGCTTAATCACAGTATCATGACAGAGGTCTTTAATGAAACATGTATAAAAGAGAGATTGCTGCCTAAACACACAATATATATATGCATGTATATATATGTGTAGTATGTAGGTGTCCTTGTCAAGTGATGAATGTGGAAGTGCAAGCCTGCCTGCCTGCCTGCCTGCCTGCCTGCCTGGACACAAAAAAATATCCCTCCACCAATATGATAGCCAGCCAGTCATTTGGCGCAGTATTTGTGACAAAGTGTGTAGGTTAATCAGGAGATTAAATGACCATCATAAAATTAACCTTCTCATAATTAGATTGCTCTCAGAAGACACGACACTATTCAATCCGAAATGACTTGCAAATAACATGCGTGACTTATTAGAGATTGTCTTACTCCGACACCAGTTAACTTTCACTATATATATATATATATATATATATATATATATATATATATATGTGTGTGTGTGTGTGTGTGTGTATGTGTGTGTGTGTGCAAATAATAGAGCTGATAATTGGATTGTAATATGCCTGTGAAATTAATTATGGTATATATATATATATATATATATATATATATATATATATATATATATATATATATATATATATATGAAGAAATATAGTCTTAAGATGTGCTATATTTATGGGATAAAGTGCTCAATGTCAGAGATAGAGCGTGTGTAAATATAAAAGTGAATAGAGAAGTCAACACTTAGAGGCGACAGTCTGTTTCATGCTAGATGCAATCGTCAGGCTACCCAATGATTGCATCTAGCATGAAGCAGACTGTTGCCTCTAAGTGTTCTTATATGTTCACTTTTATATTTATATATACATACATATATATATATATATATATATGTGTGTGTGTGTGTGTGTGTGTGTGGATCAAAACACAATAAACTAATAAACGAAACCCTACAAGTTTTCAAGTTTTAAGTAACAGTAACACAGGAACGGAAGTGTAAATTTTATATTATTGAGTAATATTCGGCAAACGTTACCGGTTTGCCCAAAGGAAAAAACGTAGGCGAAATTCGAGGCTGCCAGCATGCCAAGCCCTGTTGAACGTTTTAGGGATATTCTACAACCACAGCCCGAGTCTCGCCGTTCTTATCTACATTTTGATATACAAATTAATTGATGGCCGTTAATAGATCAGCGCTAAACCTGGCAAAACGTTAATTAGAGCTTCGAATATTTTGGCGATAAACGGTAAGCGACTAATAGAGAGATAATTTGAACGGGCGGGGCTAGGGGAGTTCCCAGAATTCTTAAAAACAGGAAATACAGAGGAAGACTTCTAACAATTTGGAAATCAAGAAGCATCGAGGCATTTCTTGAAGAGTTTGGAGGTAACTGGAACCAGTTCAGGATCACAGGTGGGATCTCGTTACCTTCGCTTGCCTTATGGGAGTATAATTTAGAAATAGTCTCCTCCTGCCTTGTTTGGATCTAAGTTAAAAGTGATATCAAAAGTTAGTGACGGGCTTATGTACATATCACTCAGTAGAGCCTTCATTATAGGGGAAAATCAGGCATGGGTACTCTAAATGTGTCGAGTGTGGAAGAGAACATCCGAGCAAAGCACTCAAGCTTATCGTCAGATTGACTGACGTGTGAAGGGACTGAGTACTTAATGTTGTTAAGCATGCTTTTGCAGAGTCGACAATAATCCCTAGAATAAAACATGTAACAAACTATTCGTTGTTTCTTACTATCAGCAGTGATTTCGCTTCTTTGAGGATATGCTTGTACTAATTAGGATTAGTGACAAAGATACATTTGTTACAATTAGACATGTCACTCTGATAGAGAAGTGATTCCTGTGGTATATATTGGCCGGGAATTCAGGTGAGAACCAAGATGATTGTGGCTTCACTTGGTATTTCGGTGTTGGAATGAAAACATCATTGCCGAATTCCGCTAAGGTAGAGACCTCAGCGGTACAGTTTGGGAAAAGGATGATTAAAAACCTAATTCCAAAGAACATCACGAAGTCATGGAATGGGTTCAAATTAGAGCGTTGATAACAGAAATATATTCTGTTGGTAGGAGGTCTGTGGCTGATGGGAGAGAAGAAAGAGATATTTACAGACACTAACGCATGATCGGTGTTGTCAAGAAGGCAGAGCTGTAGAGCAGGACATGAGTCAGTTGTAGAGGTGAAGAAGAGATCCAGAAGACAAGCGTGTCCGTCACGATTACTATCGAAAAGTGTAGGGAAGTCCACCAGTTGCATGAGACATTGCGTGATAGAGGGATTCAGGGTTTATATACCAGCGAGGTCACTCATAGTGTGATTAAGCCATCTGGCATGGTGAACATTGAAGTTACTGAACAAAGATATTTGCAAACAAGTGTAGAAGAAAGAAGGCCTTATCTAGATTATCAGAAATACTATCTAGAACACAAAAGTCATGAAAGGAAGGGGAACAGTAGCCAACAAAGAGATAACTGACTAAGGTACATGTAAGATTAGTCTAACCAGCGGAGATGTCCCTGGCCATAAAATCCCAGGCCATGCATGTGAACACTAGAATCATTCCTAAAGAGACGAAGATGGCCAGGAATCAAGAATTCAGAGCTAAGATGACCGGAGATTGTTCTAACTGGAACAATTCCACACTGCAGTAATTGGTACGAATAACCTGAATGTTGAAGAAAGGTTGAGAGGTTTAATTGTTTTTGGGTGAGCTGGCTTAGTTTTATTTCGTTGGCTGTTTATCGCCATGGTATTATATTTAGGTTAGGAAAATACCGGGAATATTAGTAGCTGTCGGTCGTCTGAGGTAACATGTGCGTGCTGGGAATTAGCGCAGACTGCAGCATAGGGTGGCCTCGGGGTTGATCACTGGAGAATGTTTGCAGGGAGATGGCAGCGAAAGAATCCTGATGTTATGTGACTGTTATCAGAGATGCTTCTCTGGACGCTACACAAGATTATGAGATTCTAAGTACCAGTTGGTAAGCAGCAACCAAAAAATGACTTTTTTGATGGAGTGGATTTGATGTTTTACTATTTGAAGGAGAAGTTCGTTGGTTTTTATGAGGTAGGCTTCTAATCTAATTGTTGGAGTTTTTAGAGTTCAAATTAGTTTAGACCTCGGCTTTATAATGCCCCTGTTTTATTATTTGTTGAAGCTTGAATAAGCATGGAATAATAATAATACAACACAAAATGTACGTAACAAAATGTATTGAAACAATGAAAAAAGGTACACAATATTTACAGGTAGTTTTGGTATATTCTTGGGAAGACTGTTCCTGCAGAATGGGTTGACTAAGTCGCAGTCGGGCAGAGTCTCTGGATTCGATCTCTTAATCTTCCGTCGTCTTCCGGTACCAACCCATATTTATATGGTCGGTACTCCACTTATGTAAATTAGGTGTATCATACACAACATTATTATTATTATTATTATTATTATTAATAATAATAATAATTGTTTTAACACAAGTATAGTACAATTACTGATATATATATATATAAATTAATTTTTATTTCTTCTTTTCCCCGTTGGATTTGATTTCAAATCTTTCTTCATAATGACCGCTCCAAACCATAGAAACACTCGGACTAGAAAAAGAAAGATGATGAAACTTTTGGATTTATGAAATGTCTAGTTTTGTTTCATTCTAAATTAAATATGATTATAATGTTCTAAACTAAAAAACACCGAATGTCAGCGCTTACAGTATAGATTCTTTAGAAAGAGACATATTTTAATAACTGAATTTCTTTTTTTCAAAAGTTCTTCGCCAATTGGAAAATATTAAATTCATATTTTCTTTTGAAAGATAATTTTTTTAATGCATTGGGCATTTGTTGAGATCAATATGTCATTTGCATTTTTACATTTTGAATTTTTTTTTTCATTTCAAACAGAAATCTAAGTGTAAGAAGTTTGTATTTCTTGTAATACTTTTCATGTTATAAAAAATTGCAGGCATGCAAATCTTACTCGACAATTTTTCATTGGAAATTTCTTTTCTTTTTTTCTTTCGTTCTTCAGTTTTTTCTCTTATTGACATTTTTCTCTTTCTTTCTGTTTTTCTTTCTTCATTTCATGTTTTCCTTTTTATTCATTTGTCCGTCTTCCTTTTCTTTCATTCTTTGTCGTTTAGTGACTTTTTTCATCTGCTTTTTCTTCTTTTTCTATTTGCTTACTAATATTTGGCGTGTAATTTCCTCCTTTTTTCTTTCTTTCCCTCATTCCTTTCTTTTTACGTTATATTTGTTATTTCATCTTTCATTAGTTTCTTTCTCTTTTCTTCTCTTTTTCTTTTTCATTTTTTTTACCCATTTTTATTCTGTTAGTGCTTTATCTTATTTTCCATTTTTTAAAATCTTTCTTGAATCCTTTTTGGATTCATTTCTTTCCTCTCATTTTTCTCTTTTCCTTTCTTCGCTTTTTTCTTTTCCTTTCTATTTCTTTATTCTTTTTCTTTCCCCCTTTTTTATCTTCTATTTTCCTTTTTCTTTTTTCCAGTCATTCTTTTTAACCTTATTTCTGTTTTATTTGTTCCTTTCTTTGGTCTTTCTTTATGTCCTTCTTTTTTCTTTCCTTCTTTTTTAAATTTTCTTTCTTTTTTGTTTTTATTGCTCTCTACCATTTATCATCTATTTTTCTGTTCTCTTTATTTCTCTCATTACATCATTTCTTTCTTTCTTTCTTTAAATCTCTCTTGATCTTACTTTTTCTTTCTTTCTTCTTTCCTCCTGTTTCGTTTCTCATTTTTTCTGCACCTGATTATAATCGATCACTTGACTATAATCGATATAATCGATCTTGCTATCTGAATAAATATAAATGGTATTTATTTTGGTCAATTTTGGGAAACAATTCTTTCTGAGAACAAGCGACCGTCTTTTAGAAGAGTGGAGCAATTTCACTAATGCGAGAACATTGTTTGGCTGAAGATATTGACGTCACTGAGTGTAGATGCGAGTGTTTTATTTACGTAACATACGTACCTCATTCTCTTCTGTATGGGCCAAGAATCTATAACAGTCAGGGCAACTATTTGCAACAGAAGTTTACGTCATTGCGAGACTGACTACTTTGCTCATCTTTGCTATTTTAATCTCTATCTATAAAAGGCAAGATGTGTGTGTGTGTGTATGTGTGTGTGTGTGCGTGTGTGTGTAACGAATGCACGGCCCCAATTGTCGACGGATTTGCACCAAAATTTACATGCACATGCTCCAAGTTAGCGGGAAGGCCAAGACCCAACGATAGTGGAAATAATCGATTTTTCATGCTTCTACGGCAGTTTTCATGTAGTTTGCGGCAATTTTCTACTGGCCAGAGTGAGAGCCTATAGCTGGCTGCCACGAATAGGCAGGAAGATTCTATTGGCAAGCGTGAGAGCCAACAGCTGACTGACACGAATGTCATCTAGCATACAAAAAAATCGATAGCTGCATTCGTCATAAGTGGGAAAAATTTAAATCTGCATGGCAATTTACTCCAATTGGCTCATTCGCTTGCTTAAACTCAACGTTGATTCTGATTCCGCAGAACTGGGTTGAGTGTGAAAAAGTATTTGTTGTTAACATTTTTTTTTATTCGGTTTTTCCAGTTACGAATCCTTTTTAAAGCTGATCGTTTAGTGTTCATTTTGTTTAGTTCTTTTCTCGTAACAGATTTAATGTTTAGTATAGAGTTTCGAAAAATTCGCAGTGTGAGATAGGCAAGAAGTAAGGCATGTGGCAACATCAGCACGGCAAAGGACACTCCTTTAAAGGCAAGGAAGGGCAAAAATATTTTAAGTCAAGTGATAGCGATTGCTGTACGAGTCGTACGATTTTTGAATTCAAATGCTGCAAGAAAGATGGGAAAAAGTAGTGGCTAGCGATGGACAATGCTTTCTGGGAGATGTTTCGTACTAATGTTTGTAAATAAAACTTTACTTTTAATGAAAAATCACCGAGAACTTATTCAAGATCCTAATACTTTTAAAATATTTCTGGCGGGTTTCTCACACCAAAAAAAGGAGAAAAGTTTATATAAATATATTTTCAGAAATTATTAGTTTTTAATTTTTAAAAATTGAAATAAATTTATGGTAGATGGCGCTGTGCGGCCATTTAGACTAGGTTACATTTTCATTGGTGTACATTTGCTGCTAGTCTATCTTCAACATTTTACGTGTGTAAATTAACTGAGAAATGTTCCATTTCGCACGATATTCATATCGTGAGAAAGCAGATATGATTTTTACAGACGGTCGTGTGAATGGTACGCAACACTGAACGGCTGCTCCTGTATCGGTATCATATGAAACGTGTGCACTTTCCTTCGTTCACTCCGGGAGAACTTTTGCACAAACTGTCGATCCGTTCTTTGTCTCTTCAGGTTTGTTTACGGATGAGGCAACATTAGTAAAAGATGGAATAACAAATTTAGACAACCAGTATTTGTGAGCATAGCGTAGGAATACTCCTCATTTTACATTTGTGTGTGTGGCTGGAATTGTAGGTGACTCTCTGGTAGGTCCATATGTTCTCCCAGCATGCCTTACTGGAGTTGTCTACAGAGATTTTATCTCAAACACATTTCCAGACCTGCTAGAGGATGTATTCTTGCTAATACATAGACGCAAGTGGTTTATGCATTACGGGACTCCCGTACATTTTAGTCGCATTGTTCGCGATTCACTGGCTGAAGTCTACTATGACAATGGTTAGGTAGGGGTGGACCAGATCCATAGAATTCAATCCTTTGTATTTTTATCTGTAGAGCCACCTAAAACAATTGGTTTATACAGCAGACATTAATAATACAGAGATGCTTTATCAACATCTCATGTGGGTCTGCAACACAATTAGACACTGGGTGGTGGTATTTAAAAGGGTCTGACAGTCAATGATACGACGGTTGCATGCGTGTATAGAAGCAGGTGGAAGACATTTGGAAGATTTTGTGTAAGTTGCTTTTACATTTTTTGTGATTAGCTTTTGAACATATGTTTATATGGATATTTTTACCTTGTTTTGCTGTCAGAAACCCGCCTCTCAAAATCAGAAAACTATTTATGAAACTCTGACTATATATATATATATATATATATATATATATATATATATATATATGTGTGTGTGTGTGTGTGTGTGTATGTGTGTGTGTGTGTGTGTGTGTGTGTGTATAGATAGATAGAGAGATAGATAGATAGATAATATTATTCGGTAATCCGTATTGATAATTCCAAAGAGAATATAGATTCAGAGAGAGCTCAATATAAGAACAGACCAAATGATAATTATGAAAAGGGAGACTTTAGAAACCCATAGTAATATTTTATTTCGCAAAAGCGATACTTCGGTTTCGTCTCATCAGACCCAAATCAGTTTCAACAATAAATATTATGAAATGGACAAAGTCCGACAAATATTCGTTATAAGATATTTTTTAATGTTTTTACATTCTTTTTTTTTTTATAGATACAAATATTTAAGTAAATGCTCTGTTTATAATAAACAGTATTAAACAACATTTACCGGCCTGAATGTCCGAGAAAGCTTCATAGAAAATATGAAATTCCTGTCGGAGGACGCATACATTCTATGAAAATTTCTCGGACATTCCAGCCGATAAATGTCGTTAATACTGTTTATTATAAACAGAGCATTTACTTAAATATTTGTATCTATAAAAAAAGAATGTAAAAACATAAAAAATATCTTATAACGAATATTATATAAATAATTATGGATGAGCATTCATAATTGTATATATATATATATATATATATATATATATATATATATATATATATATAGAACATTAAATTTCAGTATTTTCGCTTGAGAATCAGTATTTATATTTCTGCTTCAACAGCGATTATACCATTTCATGTACAGGTAGACAAATGCATCATCGAAATGCTAAAGACCTCATATTTTGATATGAATTTTGAGGCATTTATCAACTCAGTGATTCACGCGATTCTAAAGCCAAGATAGATAGATAGATAGATAGATAGATAGATAGATAGATAGACAGATAGATAGATAGATTCTAAAAGTTATTGATACTTATGTACATCGGGTATATCATAAATAGATAAAGAGAAAAAATTGATTTCCATTTAGGATTCAAGTACGAGAATCTTTGCTGTAAACCGTGGTTGGAAGGAAAGCCTCCTTATCTTCTTTGAATCAGGCCCATTAATGTGTGCTTGTAAATCAAGGCCGGAAAATCAATCGTTTTTCATCGCCGCCCTCGGATCATGAATGAAGTTTTGCTCGGGAACGGCTAACGATGCTTTCAAAGATTTGCATAACTACGGGGCTGTAGCCATTGAGCAAATATCGATAATAAACAGGTAGGCAAATTGGAAGAACACCAAGAAAAGAATTTAACTCGCCTATATCGACGCAAGCAGATAAATGCAAAACAAACACACGAACACATAAATGCTCGCACAAACATATATATATATGTGTGTGTGTGTGTGTGTGTGCGTGTGTGTGTGTGCTGTGTAAATTACATCTGTGTGCAAATAGAGAGATACATTGATATAAGGAGTGTGCATGTAGAAATCATGATGATTGGTAGTTTCATGCCTTAAGCGTTCATCAGGCCAATATTGATTCAATCTCTCAGATTATATATATATATATATATATATATATATATATATATATATATATATATATATATATTTACTCATCATTAATTCATCGAACTTATATGTGCGTTTCAGTAAATTCAGTAAATTTAAAAATAAGTTATTCCAATATTCGCTTGAAGATGAAACGGAACTAATGCTTTTAATTTAATTATATAATTAAATTTAAAGATTTTAGCTTCCATTTTGAAACACGGTTATTAATGTGTAACGAAATACCATATTTTCAATCAGTTAATTTATAATATTTATGCTCTGTAAATTTACATTGAGCATTGTTCGTGAAAATAAAAATTATCAGTAAGAACACCGGATTATATATCTTACTGTTCTTTCTTTTTTTTTTACACACACACACATATATATATATATATATATATATATATATATATATATATATATATATATATATATATATATATATATATATGCTATCGGGTAAGTTTTGAAAAGAATCGAAATGTAAGAGATCAAATAAAATAGTTCTAAAGGAGTATTTCTATTTATTTTATGCTATAAATGTTTTTCTTTTGTTTTTATGGTGGGGAAGTGTTCATTCGGGTCTATTTTTTACCATCTTTGTTTTTGTTTTATGTGCTTTATAAAGTATAAGGACGTTTCTCCTAAAATATTCCAGCTCTCCCGTCTTGAATCGTTGTTGTGTTCAGGAAAAAAAAATTGATTTTCATTTCAACCCGTTTTGTATTCATTATTTTGTCTTATTTTCAATCATTGCTTTTATCCTCTGTCTTTGTATAAATGTATAATTCTCTGTTGCAGGTAAAATTTGGATGTTTTTCGTGATTCTAGTTGTTTTCCAATGATGAATACCCCACTGTTCACTATATATTTCCTCCTGTGTCAACCTCAAATAGTTGCAACCCCACGCGTTTAAGAATTTCCAGCGTCTAAATAATTCGCTAGACGGCGTTCGATTCTCATTATCTGCCCTACATTTATGCCTCTATACAAGACAAAATGAAGCTTGATGAATAAATTAAACACCGATTTCTATGTGATGATTAAAAACACACTTTACAGAGCAATTAAATTTTTAAGAGAATTCGATTTTCAATAAGTGTCTTATATCATCCTGCACCCGACTTGGTTGCTTTCGAGATGAATGACAATATTATCAAACAGGAGTCAGTATACGACTGGTATTAGGCATCACTTCCGGTTTAAGGTTATCTTTTCTTCTTAGTCAAATGAAAGAGATAATTTCAAGTCAGAGAAAACTTTCCCCAGTGAGAGATCCAACGTGTCAAGATATGCTTTGAAATACATGCTAGAATTTTTTCTCTCCTTGATCTATATTACAAATCTACCATTCGTCCATAACTTGGGCCTCGACGTGGTATAATGGTTAGCAAGATTGTCTCGCTAAATCGTGAGTTTGATTTTCACTGGGTGTCCCATAATTTCGGCTTTGTGCTACATCTTAACTATCCTCAGAAAATTCACCATTCGTCGATGTTTCGGATATTACTGTCATATATGGTACGCTGCTCCTGCTGTATATCTACAGATTTTTTATAAAAGCCAAAGAAGAATCAGTAATATTATTGATCCTAACCTGGCAGCTCGGCTTTAGTCATTTCCCCACCGTCTTAAGCTACATTTTATGAATTTAAGTGCAGAACTTATAAATTCGCAGTCGAATTTGATAGATGTAACCGTAAGTTTTATGCTATCGGTTGCTTTTCTCGCACTTCTCGCTTGTGGAACGCTTTCTAGGTTCCATGTTTTCCACCAAAAGTTGATCTTCAAAAATTTAAATACATTATCAATCATTAACTACTATCTTCTTGACGCCTCTTCTTTCAATCTTTCTCTTTTTTTACTTATACTTTCACACTCAGTAACCCCTTGTAACTTAAGATTCCATCTGATTTCCACAAATCTGCAATGGGGGTAACCCTGGAAGGGCATGCTTCCAAATCCTCTCCTCTATAACTTTGCTTAACTTGGCAACCACTAAAATAGTAGAAGGTAAATATTTAATTTACGTGGTTCAGAATAGAATGTGGCACTATTTTCATTTAACTGCATGCAGCTTTTGCCATTTTAACAATCTAGTTTTTACATTTTGCAGTATAAATTAATTTCGACGTATCCGTCATTAGAATATTTATTGGTAGAAGTCCATGAATTTGTATACATTTCTCTACTGTAATGGGAATAATTTCAAATCGATCACAGGTTTCAAAAGTTCCACTGAATTTGACCAAAGTTTGTCTCAATTTCAGATGCCATTTTCTCAATATCAGTTTACCCAGATATTTTTTTGAGATTATAGTGACCTCACTCCCCGTATCCACTTGCTTTGGAAAAGTCATGCCATTTGATTTAATATTTTCAAAAGAATTCTTTTCCTTGGGTCTTTATATTGAAAAGTCGTCATCAATTCTTTCTTTTCTCATTTTTTTCTATACCGTTTATTTTCGTTTTAACTTTGCATACAGACTAACAATGACTTTTTCTATGGCATTTATGCCATATTTTTCCGAAAGCGTGGCACTTTTTTTCTGACAGTTTCATGCCCTTGCTTACAGTATTAGCATTTTGTGAGTTTTTTTTTATACTGTACGTTCCGAAATTGTCCTCAGTAGAATTATAATTTTTAATCAATTCCATCTGTCGTATAAATTTCACAAATGCAGTTAGAGACAAATAATTCAGTTCTAATTCTTCCAATATCTTATACTTATGAAATCAACAGGAATTAAATCAATTCTTCCTCTATAGTCAAATCTTCTCAAATTCTCAGAACTTGCTAGCTTCTCTTGACATGTGAAGTTATTGTAAAATTGATCCATCTTCTCTCATCTCTCAGTTGTATCTCTGTCTTTGGGCAGAGTGCACTCAGAGGAGACTCCGTCAAAGGATAGAGTCGCAACTGAGAAAAATTATACTGATAGATGCCCAGCCGTGGGGAACAGCTGCCCGAGGTCGCACCCTCTCAGTGCACCAGAGGGAGGGATCGGTGCTCGCACCGAGACCAACGCAATCGTCGGTTGCGTGACTGCGGACAATTCTTGTTCCTTGCCCGGGTGTACGCGCTCGCTTAAAAAAAGAACTTGTCTCACAACTGGTCTTAGTGGGGAGGCAGAGTAAATCCCTAGTGTTATTCTACGACACGTTGTCAGTCTTCAACTTTCTCTTATTTAAATCTTCACTCTATTTTTTATTATTCCTATAACCAAGATTTGCAAATAGGTAAAATCCTATTTGCCAATCCCATTACAGTGTGAGGTGATTAAAAAAATACCTGGAGCGCTGTTGGATTATGCTTTATTCCTCACATATACACATATAATACTAAATACTTGCTTTTCCCAATTAACGCTCTTTCATTCATAGATATACATGCATATACACACATACATATTAATTTACTCTTTCACTTTAAGATGTTCCTTTTCAGTATGTTCTTCGATGTGTTGTGTCTCTTCAGGATGTGGTCGGTTATCTCTCTCCACAACTTCCTATACTTTGCAGTTCTAGGCAGGGTTTACTATCACTCATTTTCCTTGTTCTGCCATTCATTTACACAAGCTGATTAGGTAGATTATTTCGCATTTCCCTCTAATCACCTTGCCTTGTGAGTATCAAATTGGAAAGCATCTTTCCTCTAATGCATTGCGCTTTCAGATTTCTCTATCAGATATTCCATCGATGTTATAAAAGTTTCAAGACAAGTCCCGTTATTCTGTTACACATTAAACTTTGTAAAACATTTAAATTTTGTTGTAATATTCAATTTTATTGAAAATTATTATGAATTGGGCTTACGGTCACATTCCGTTAAAACAACGGTTCCCTTACGTCCACCGAAGTTAAGGAATGTCGAGCCTAGTCAGTACCTACATGGGCGACCGCTTGGGATTACCAGGTGTTGTAAGTTTGGATGTACGGGAAGCGTAATTGATAATGGATCGGAATTGTTAATTTTGGGGGCAGTTGTAATTTTAATTGGGTTTGTTATATTCGCTTACGAGCAAATCCCCTTGAGAAAGGTATGTTTCCATCTCTTTTCCCTCAACTATGGGTTAATTAGTAAGACTTGTCTCGCTAAGTTATTATCATCTCCAAAAAGAAATTCTTACAATCTATAAATATTTTCGGGCTTTAAATTACCTCCAAATGTTTAATAAGGCGTAGAAAATGAATCAATCAATCAATGGTATAACGCAGTCGGAATTTTTTAGAAGCAAAGGTACTTGGAGTGTTTTTTTTTCCATTTAGAACGAACCCAATAATAATATTACAGTTACTTATGCAAAGTGCCCGATTGGTAAGAATGTTATCCTTCTGACCCGGGTTCGCATCGCATCCTGGTCGATTTGTCAGGAGGATTATTTCTTAATGAAACCAGCCATTGGAAAGTGCCTGAAAATCATACAACGGGTTTTGACCCAAGACTTGTGAGTGAAATTTCTTTGAAGACTCTCGATCGTTGTGCTAGCAAGTTATGTGACCAAGGATCGAACCTAGTGCTCATGTTCGTACTTGTTGGCCTTGTTTACACTATGGATCATGCCAGATAAATGCGCCCTCTCGCAGAAACTGTGACTAAGGTTAGCTCAGAATAGTTGCAAATCTGGGTCTGTTCTGTGGGTGTTGAACAAACATAAACGTGCCTGAGCAGACGTCTCAATCGGAATTGGCTCGCTGCCCTTGTAGACAGGCACACTCGACTAGCCATTGCTTCCGCAATTTTAGTGTCTACCGTAGTCTAGTGTACTTATTTCGAGCTTCACTGTGTGACACTGTGTGAATGTACCATGTCATTGTACTGCACAAAGGTAATATTGGTATAAAATGATTTAACTTGATTTGATTTAAAACCTTATTTTAAACTAAAATATCATTCACTATATAAATATATGTATGAAAAATATTAAAAGGTTAGGCATCTGTATTCATATAAGAATAATACATTCTCATGTGAATCCTGAAGAGCAAACTATCACAAAACTCTGAGTGGATCTACGATAAGTATCCTGGCCTTTTAATACCTTTAACACAATTATTACTACTATATATATATATATACATTGACCATTTTATTGACAAAAATTATGCCACTTTGGCATACACTTAATTATATAGTGTTATGTCCATTAATAGTTTTTTTTATAATTTGTCAAACAAATATAAAGAAAATATCGACGAATATTTTTTATGCTGAAGCAATAAATGTATTTAATATTGGAAAGGCATAATAATTCATATTATATATGGAAAAGAGAAAGTTTTAAATGCAACGAAATCCCGGAACACACTCTGATTAGAATGTCTTCCTTCCTTTCTTCATTTTATTTTTTTATTTTCCTTCCTCATTGCTCGCTGATCTTAATTTATTCCTTTCTTTCCTTCTCACATCTTTCTTTATAACACTAACCACTTTGAAGATTTGATATTGAAATATTATTCATTAATTTCATTCAGTATTTGCCTCAGAGGCTTACGACCATATCATGTTGAAATATCGGTTCCAGTCTGATCACCTGAAAGTTAAGTCGAGCCTTGTCAGTTCTTTGATGGTTGAGCGATTGCGAATACCAGATGCTATATGTGCGGCTGATGTAAGGGATAATGCCTGGTAATTGTTAATCAGAGAACCGAGTTCAAATTCCAGTTGAGTTCATTATATTCACTTACGCGCAAATACCCTTTGAAAAGGGATGAATTCACCTCTTCGCCCCCCCCCCGTAATTAGTAAAATCTGTATTACTAAACCATTATTATCTAAAAATATTTTTAGCATAATTAAAAACCTGTAAAAGGTTGCTAAACCCTAAATCAATATTTTTGTTTCCTTTTTTCCCATCGTGGCCCTTTTGGTCGCCTTTTTTTTCTGAATATAGATTTATTCCTTAGTTTCAATATTTTCCTTCTTTCCATTGTTCATGTCTTCCTTTTTAATTTCTTTAACCTTGTAGACAGGCGCTACATAATCATAAATAAAGAACTGTACCAAACAACAGAAACAGCATAACTTGAGGACTTTTAAAGAGCAGCAACAACTAAAATAGATAGCACAAGTTACTCGAAAAGAAAATAATAATATAGCGATTTTCCAAGCGTAGCTTAGATGTGGCACAAGGCCGAAATTAGGGGGCACCCAGTGAGGCTCGAACTCACTACTTCAGTCGTAATTGCTCTAGGAAGCCAAGCTTGCTAACCATTACACCGCCTCGAGGTGCCCAGAAAATAAAAATAATATAATCAAAGTTCTGTTGTTCCACACTACTCCAAACAAAAGCTTAGGAAGGAAACCGTCATCAATAATGGAAACAGTGATAACAGTTATCGAACTTGAGAAAACTGTTTTCCCGGAAAAGAGAAAGGAATAATGAATGCTCGGTCAATGAATACCGAATGTTTCCTTATTAGGAAACAGCTAATATTACCTTAACTATTTGAGATGAGATACTCTTTATGTTATTTACTCTTCGCCCCCTACCCCTCCGCCACGGTAACGGAACATGGTACAAGGCTAGTTTAAATAGAGGATCCCAAGCGTGTTCACCTAAGCTAACACCAAAAACTTATTTAGTCGCGGCAACCAACGTCACGCTGGCGTCGATATTCCACCAACCCTACTTCTTTGGTACAATGAGGGAGGTAGTACCACAGGCTTGGGATCCCCGGCACCAGGCATCCCTCATTTATTTGTTGCGTTCTCTCCGAATACACAAACAGAATTGATCGATAAAATGTATTTATTTTCCCACCCGAAGGCAGATTATATTTACTTGTCGCCCCATGCTGGTAGATGTGACCCAAAGTCAGTAAAATGTGGGGAGCCCGAACTCAACATGAACCCGGGCCAAGTCCAAAAATAGCCGTTGGTTGCGCTGGTATCGGTATTACGACCGTTATTTCTTCTTTAGTTCAATGACGGCAGCTGTTTCCTGGAACCGACCACACCTTTTCAGTTGCGCTCTGCCAGAAGACATAGTTTGTCTGCTTAAAAACAGATACTCCACTTTGATCGCATCCAGATAGTAAGGCTGGGATGAAAGTGTACATCGTGTAACATTAATTGTTTGCTGAATTTACCTCGAATATTTCCTCAAAAGGAAACGACTAACATTACCATAACCATGTGGCGAACAGATACTACACTTTGATCCCAACTTAATGGCTTTAAAGAGATGTGCCTAATTCGTGGAGCACTGTTTGTACGGTTAATAAATGCCGGATGTTTACTTATAAGAAAACTAATATTACCATTAGATTTCTTCTTCTTCTATGTGCTATGCCTTTTCAAGATTTTGCCAGTCATGGCTCTACATAAATTCTTGTCCGTTGTAGCTCTTAATACGTTTTTGTCTTTTTGCTATCTCTCCTAAACTCTGTTATGTCATCCATTTCTACAAGCTCGTTAGATACGTTACATTGCGTTGTTTTTTCCTGTTTCTCTTGTTTTCAATCTGTCATGTGAGTGCCAATTTATCTAAACCTTCTTTCCTCATTATGTGACCCAGATTTTTCTAATGTCTCTTACTGTTCTTTCTGTTTCCATTTTCTCTCAAACGTTGTCGTTACTCCCAGGTACAGTCCATGGTATTCTCAGAATCTTTTTTTAGAACGTCATTTCGTCTTTGAGGACATTGTCCAGCATTTTTGTCTATTATATTGTGAAGGTTGGTAGAAGCGATTATCATTCCATTGAACATTTCTTCTAAATCTTCAAAGAAACTGAACAAAATGGAATCTTATAAAAGCAAGTCTTGTGGCTATTCAGCTGTATTCACAAGTCGCTTCCTACATCTCTTAAAGTAACCGAGATGATTATTCTTGTTGATACTGCATAAAAGCTATTTATATTCTTCTTCTTCTTCTTCTTCCTATGTGCAAAAACTCCCACATGCAAATATTGCGCCACAAGAAATATAAAGCAAAATATTAAATAGTTGGAAAAAATTGTATCAGCGATAAATCTAAAATATTTCATTTTTTAAATCAAATGCTTTTCAATCAACATATATTTTATAATGATATCTGGAATATTCAGGGTATTTTAAAAAATATTTTTCGAAATATTTTCCGATACAAAATACTGGTAGATGACCAATGAAATGTACCTTGAATGGTACTGGTTGCGCGGTCAATGAATGTTGAATATATCTTTAAAAGAAAACGGGTTTTATTGCTATTAAAACCATTCCTTCCATTCAATTCTTTCTTCCTCACGATTTTTTTTAATGCTGCGATAACTTTCATTTTTCTTATTTAAATATATTTCTTAATTTTACAATTTTCTTTCCTTTCGTCATTTTTTCTGTCTTTTTCTTCCATGATTACTTCCTACCTTACTACCATCTTTTCATTTTCATCACTGATTGCCCTGGTCACCTTCCGTCTTTCCTATTCAAATTTTTCGGCAATTTATTTATTTCTCTTTATCTATATTTCTGAGATGAGGTATTATGTACACTATTTACATTATTCGGACTATTGTCCTCATCTTTGTCGCCATATTTATTACAACGTTTCGGCCGTTTCTTCAGGTAGTTGGAATGTCAAACTGAACCCTTTATTCCGCTCACTGGGGTAGACTGTTCTAGTTCCACGTGCCATGTTTAATGGATGTCAGTTATCAGTTATCTCCTGTTAATACCCCCTAAACTTTCTCCACTGCTTTAACCGGGTATTGAACTCACAATCTTTGGGTTCTGTCACTGACACAGTGGATAAAGGCGTTAGTTAGATCCAGTTACAGAATACAAAGAGTGTGAGTTCAATACCCGGTTAAGGCAGTGGAGAACTTTCAGAGGGAAATTAACAGGAGATAACTGATAACTGACATCCATCAAACATGGCACGTGGAACTAGAACTATCTAACCCAGTGAGAGAAATAAAGGGTTCAGTTCGACATTCCAACCACCT